AGTTTTGTATACAGTAATTAAAAATACACATCTAGGGGAAGGAATAGCTTTCTAAAATGTGATTTTTCTTTAATGAATGCTACATATTTAATGTGAAAAATTAAATGAGTAACCTTCTGTTCTTAAATTTTTTGCTTAGTTTATCCATAGATAAGCTGTACAATAGGGATTCCAAAAGAAGCATGTTTATAAATTTGGCTGAAGTTTTTAATATATGTACATCCCTTTATTTTTTATAGTTCTCTATTCTCTTAAAATAAAATGAATCCATAGCTCACATATAGCATGTATATTTTTACATACCACCAATGGAAACCAGTGCTATTTTTCCAAGTTCTTTACTGAGCCTTCTTACAAAAACAGGAAAATAAGCAAAGTTGTGAAAATGATTCCCTCCAGGATATGGTTCTCACAGCTGAAGCAATTGGCTTGATTTTGCTCTAAATTATATCATTTTTGGAACAACTCAAAACATTTCTAGAAATACATAATGATGAGAAATAAACCATCCACTGTGGAAGAGGGCACGTTCTCTTGATATATTCTTTGCATATGAGCTGCTACTTGCCACACAATAATTTATTTTTTACCTTGAACTCTTTTTCTGAGGACATATGATGTCTATTTTTTTATTTTAGAAAATGCATTGTCAACCAATTATACTTCCTTACTAGTGATGGAGAATGAATGTGACAATATTCACATTTCTGTGAAATAATTTTTAACCCAGAGACTTAATACAAATGTAAAATGATTTTTAATGAATTTTAATATAGTAAGTGATTTCACTACTGTGGCTTCCATGCGACCTGTATTGTTTTGCAGCTCAATGTGGCGGTGGTATGTCAGATTTCAGTGGTGTGATCCTCAGTCCTGGCTTTCCCGGAAACTATCCCAGCAGCTTAGATTGCACGTGGACCATAAAGTTACCCATAGGATTTGGTATGTATATTATACACATATAGAAGAGCCTTCAGTATTGATTAAGACATCCTGAAAAGGCATCAGCATCTTCTAAGGAATTATAAAATGCTTGCAAAGTACCGTTCAGTTTGGAAGTACATGCAGTGATATAAATTGGATGATAAAATCTGAGTAACTTTTCTAAATTTAAACCTCAGTATTCAGGATAAATTGTAGTGTTGGCCCTTTGTGATACATAAATGTGCTTTGTGTTGTAGCTTATGTGATCCAAAAGTTGCGAACTCTAAAAGATTCACCACCACAGACTTAGACCATGCTTTGTTCATCCGATCACCATTGATAGGCACTTTGGCTGTTCCCCAGTTGGGTGCTTCTAAATAGCGGTACAGTGAGCGTGAGAAGACACTGATCTCTTTAGTAAACTGATTTCACTGTCTTTGGGTGTATCTCAGTGTGAGATTGCTGGGATGTATTGCGGATGCATATGGAAAGAGCCTGAGTGAGATACACCCACCACCACATCTATACGCATTTCATACATAATTACTTTTGTAACACTTTTCTTATTAGATTCACTTTCTTTTCTTCATAAATGAATCATTTTTACATTTGAAATGTAGTGCACATTTGCTAGAGTTAGGTTTAAGTGTCTTTACAGTTATATTCTCTCACTCAACTAATACAATACCCACAATGTTCATCTATTACTGTCGCATTTAATAAATTCTTCTCATTCTTGGATCACTGAAATCTTATCTGAATAGCTTTTTTATACCATGTGAAGCTGGTACATGCCAGCCAAAATGTGTTAGATTGAGGGCAGCTTGGGTTGTTGAAACTCAGAAGACTAAAATGAATAGATACTGTTTGAAAAATCTTAGCACAGCTTAACCTGAATAGACAGCAAACTCATGGTCCAGAACTTGAAAATGTATTGATGACCAAGGCAGAAACATATCTAAATGCATTGCTGTGTGTGTGTGTGTGTGTGTGTGTGTGTGTCTGTGTCTGTGTCTGTGTCTGTGTGCGTATGTGTGTGATTTGTTAAAATGTGTAGAATGTTATTAAGTTTATTTCTCTCTTTTAGGTGTACATCTCCAGTTTGTAAATTTTTCTACAGAAACCATACACGATTACTTGGAAGTAAGAAGTGGATCATCAGAATTGAGTACGGTCATCGGCCGGCTTAGTGGTCCCCAAATACCGTCTTCTCTGTTCAGCACAACCCACGAAACCAGCTTGTATTTTCACAGTGACTACTCACAAAACAAGCAGGGCTTTCACATTGTATATCAAGGTGAGAGAGTTCATAACAGCAGCAGTGTATCTGATGCTCTTAGAAATGTTTAACTAAGTAGAAGTGTTCTCTATAGTCTGTTTTAAAAAAGAAACCGAGCTTACAAACTTACTTACAAGCCTCAGTGAGGAGTATTTTCACACAGTGAGACTCACAGGCAACTATACCAGGAAAATAATATTTTGTGAAACTAAAAGAACCCTAATTGTGAAGATTGAATTAGTCTTGGGGCAGTACAGAAATTAAGCAAGAAAAGGTAATTAGCCAAGCAAACTGGTATCAAAGATTCATCTTTGTTTTTATATGAAGTTGAATATTTAATAGATATTTCATGTGTTAATGTTGTATTTTATGCAAAATTAGTGTTATTGTCATTTTTACTTTATACGGTCATACTGACTTCCTTGATTTTGGTTTATTGCCATGAAAATATGAAGCAAAAATGACTTTGATAATGATATCATTTTAGACTCATCCTACATAAAACTGCTGCATGGCCCTGAGTGAGATTTGTGTCCCCTTTTGCCGTAGTTTATGGGCTGAGGCAGTGCTGGGCTTCAATGCTAGTATTCCCTGAGTGGCCTTTGTGGCACAGGACTTGGCCACCATTTTATCTGTAGTGTGATTCTGCCCTGATAGTTTCATGTGATGTGTACTAAGATTTCTATAATTTGTAGGCTCAGCCAGATAGCACCATGGATTAAAGCGCCTCCTTAGCTGTATACAGGGACCCAGGTTTGATCCCTGGTGTTCCCTGCCAGCCCCGTCCGTGGGGCACACTGAGACAGCTACTGAGACTGGGTATGATGGCCCGTGTCTGTAATCCCAGCACTTGGGAGGCTGAACACAGGAGGCTCACTACCAGTCCGATCTGTGTAGTGAGACCCTGTACGAATTACATTGAAAATAAAGATTTATATAATTTGTAAATAACCAGTAAAGTATACTATTTTTGGTCAGAAAAGTTCCATTAAAATGAAATTATGAGGTCACTTTGTGAAGTGTGGTTCAATTGACAAAAAATCAAAATAGTTTCAGATTGTGTTACATCTCTACTTAATTAGTAAAGGACTTCATGGTAGGTGGTCACACTGGCTGTGAAAGCTCCAAAAGCAAGGGCTTTTCGTTGGTCTCTGATGGTTACATGAAGTGCTGAGAAAAGCAAGGACCCTGCCCACACCTTGTCCATAAACAAGAAGCTGTCTCTGCGGGCTCTCACCATAGCATTGTGCGCATGCGCAAGGAGAGGGTTCACTAAACAAATAAGCAAACTTGTGGCCCTGTTGCTCCCTTTTATGGCTGAACATCTCAGAGCAATACCGGGGTACACCCATCTGGGGTCTCAGAAATTCAAAAAAGACAATGTCTGTGTTTTTTCCGTTTTTTCCTAGCCTATCAATTACAAAGCTGTCCCAACCGACGTCCTTTTCAAAATGGTTTGAAAATAAAAATTCCGTAGTATCCCCCGGCATGCATTTCCCTAGTGTTCCCCGTGAACCTGGCTCGTTTCCCGCTTCCTGTCCTCCTTTCCCCTCAGCATGATATTATCTGAAGGTGGTAGGACATTGTCCTATGCTCTTTGATAAACAAGTCATGCTTGACATAACAAAGTATAAAAGATCTATTTTTTTTGCATTATTACTGACATAATATTGTTGAGGAAGTACATAACAAATGACTGCGGTGAGTAGATAGCATTTGTGAATCATACTGAATGTTAAAAATTTTCCTTATGTAATTGATATAATTGAATTAATGGCACTTTAAAGAAACTGGATTTATAGAAATTCATAGAAAGAACATTATTTTTGTATTGACTTTTCAGAATAGCATATTGTATACAATGGAGGAAGAAAATCAGTGTTAATACTGAAAACATTATTGAATTTGTTAATTCCTGGGAACTTTTCTCTTGTACACTTGAAATAAGGAAGTGTCTACACTTCCTTATTACACTAAATAGAATAGAAACTAGAATTCTACACAATTTCCTAAGATCACATCTTCGCCTGTGAATCTCTACCCACTCAAAATTATCTTTTAAGGGTGGGTGATGATTGAAAGAGTTTATTTAAGGGGCCAGCCAAATAGCTCAACAGATTAAATTGCCTGCTTAGGCAGATGCAGGCGGCCAGGTTCCCATCCCTGTCCATCCCTAGCCTGCCGTACCAGCCCTGCCCCTGGGTCACACTGAGACAGCAATTGAGACTGGGCGTGATGTAATCCCAGCACTTGGGAGGCTGAAAACAGGAGGATCACTACAAGTCTGATCTATGTAGTGAGACCCTGAAGACCCTGTAGACCTTTCCCTAAAACACACACACACACACACACACACACACACACACACACACGAGTATATTTTATAAAATAATATATTTCTCTTCCTAATGATCAGATGATGTATGCTTTCCAACAGACAGTTGTGTAGAGAATTGTTTTTGATTTCAATTCAACCAAAACAAAGAGACAAATTAAGGAAAAAGTACATCATATTTAAACATATTTATTTATTGAAAATCTTAGTTGTAGAATTTCAGGTTGTATTTTAATAGAAAACAATTATTCATCTTTTATTTGAAATAAAAGATGTTCAAATTCTAATGCAGGTATTTTAAAATTTTGAGGAATAGAGAGTTTTAATGATTTGTAGCAAAATAATCTCTCAATAATTTAAATTTTATTAATTAGAATGTAGTATAAATTTCTTAATAATATTCCAAATACTTACATTATTTGAGTATGTACCCTGTTTATCAGTTCAAAATGCATTCAGTATGGGGGTCAGGGAGATGGCTTAGTGGAATAAGTGCTTCCCTGGCAAGCCCAAGGGCCTGAGTTCAATCCCCAGTTCTGCCAAAACAAAACAAAAAAACATTCAGTAGTGTATAAAACTTAATAAGAGAAAGACAGTGAATAAGGCTTTGGAATATAATAGCAAACAAAACAAACAGAACTTTACCTCATCCAGAATATTAAACAAGAGTGTATTAACAAATAAAGATACATATTTATTTCCCAACAATATCAGAGTAATTGAAATGCAAAGTTAATTTTCTGTTAGCTTAGAATTTTTTTGTACTACTTTTTGTCTTCTTTTATTAAAGGAGTTTTTCAGACAAACTTCACAGAGGTATATTGTGGTTTGTATCTTTTATCTTTTATTTTTTATGTAATACACACAGGGTCTACAGGGTCTCACACACAGTTTGGACTTGTAGTGATCCTTCCTGTTTGTCAACCTACCAATCGCTGGGATTACAGGCATGCGGCACCAGGCCCAGTCTCATTTGCTGCCTTGGCTCACCCTGGGGGTGAGAACAGAGTGGCACTCGGGGATGTTTGTTTCTTTTAGAGAAAAAAATTCTTTTTTTTTTAAATCTTTTTTTTTAATTTTATTTATTTATGTGTGTGTGTGTGTGTGTGTGTGTGTGTGTGTGTGTGTGTGTGTGCTTGGCCAGCTCAGCCCACCAGGTGGTGGGGCTGGCTGGCGTGTGGTGCTGGGGGATTGAACCGTGGTCCCTGTGTTTTGCCAAGTTTGTTCCAAGTAGGTGCTTTAGACCACTGAGCCATCTCACCAGCCCCAGAGAAAAAAATTCTTTAAAAAATAAAAAAGGCTCAAAATTTGGCTTATACACATATTTATTTTATCTTGTGTGACCACAACACAATGAAGAAGTGATTGTATTCTACTGAAGAGAATGACAATTATTAAAATTGTGGCTGTAAGAAGAGTTTGTGGGGTTTTAAAAAAATTTTATTTATTTTTACTTTTAGGGAAGGGTCTCCAGGGTGTTCAGGGTCTCACTATTAGAATGGACTTGTATTGATCTGCCTGTTTACAGCCTCCCAAGACCTGGGATTACAGGCTCGCTCCACCACACCCAGTCTCTCAGCGCGCCCTGGGGGCGGGACCGGCACTGCAGGCCCAGGATAGAACCTCCAGCCTCTGAGTCTGCCTGCAGGACGTTTAATCCGCTGAGCTATTTGGCTGGCCCTGAGTCTGTGTTTTTGTTCAGGTTGAAAATTCAAATAGTTTGCACAAGTATGTGCAGAAACTTATGCATTTGTATGAATTATATTAACATTTCAAATATGTGAATTGTAGGAGTGGGATGTTTCTACCACACCATCATTAACAGTGTCTATCATTAACCTGAATTATTATTTATAACTCAGTACAAGGAGTGTCACATCAGTTTGTAAGCTACAAATAGCACCCATCTGGGTTCTCAGAAACTAAAAAAAGAAAATGTCTGTGTCTTTTGTTTTTTCCTAGCCTATCAATTACAAAGCTGTCCCGATCCACGTCCTTTTCGAAATGGTTTCGTAATTGGCAGTGATTTTACCGTGGGGCAGACCATTTCGTTTGAATGTTTCCCAGGATACACCTTAATTGGGAATTCAGCTCTTACCTGCCTTCATGGAGTCAGTCGCAACTGGAATCATCCTCTGCCACGGTGTGAAGGTGTGCTTCTACCCTGAAATGATCTTTTAGGAGACCTCGTTCATGTTTAGCTATTCTTGTGTTGACATTCTCTCTTGTCTTCTCTTCCAACACCGTGTAAAATATATAGATAGAAACTGCATGTTCATCTGTCAGTTGAATTATTAAAAGGAAAATTAATCCTAGCATCTCCATAATGAATAACTCACTTGATGACCATGGCAGTAGTCCTGACACTCCTCATTGGTACTGGACATAAAATTTACTGGTGCTGTTGAAGTTTTCTTCTGTGTGTATGGCTGGTGGTAGTGGTGGTGCTGGTGCTGGTGTGTGTCTGTTTAATAGTCATTATTATGAACCAATAGCTAGACACTACTACTGAATTTGAGTGTTTTTCTTTAGAAAAGTGTTTGTTTGTTTGTTTGTTTGTTTGTTTCTGGTACCAGGGATGGAACTCAGGACCTTGTACCTGCTGGTCAGGGCATGTATGCCACTGAGCTGTCTCCCTGGCCCTGGTAAAGTATTGTAATTAAAAGGATTATGAACCTCTCCTAGGGTCTTATATGTGCATGTATACATGACATATGAAAAACCATTATACAGGATAGCTAGGATATACAGCTGAGTTCTCTTAGTTCAATGAGAAGAATGGTTTGTACTACTAGTGCTTAGGCAAGATGTCATGTCTGCATCTTGTCCTCTGAACTACTACTACAAAGACAACAATATGCAATGTATTAACTATCGTAATTGTCCTATTCACCTGTTTTGAACCTATTTCATCTTTTTTCTCATTAAAATGAATTAAAAAAATTTAAAAATTAGACAATGCATTAATACAATATACTTTAAAAAGAAAAGAAGTTGATTTACCAGCCTTGTGAGCATTACTCATAATGAAGATGTAGCACACCTTATAAAGAAAAACACTTAACTGACTACATTTTGCTCCTTTTTGTCAGTTGCATTTTATATGCTTCATCTGACAGCAATAGACAATGGGGATGCCCTTTATTCCACTTGAGACAATGACATGTTTGCTTGTTTCTGTCTCCTCAATTCGTGGTTATAGTTTGTTTGTTTGTTTGTTTGTTTGTGGAATCGGGGATTGAACTCAGGCCCTTGTGCTTGCCAGGGAAGCACTTATTGCAGTGAGCCATCTCCCCGGCCTCTTGAGGTTATAGTTTTTAGCACTTTATTTTGTGTCTTTTCCCACAGCTCTTTGTGGTGGGAATATCACCGCTATGAATGGCACTATTTATTCTCCCGGGTATCCCGATGAATATCCAAACTTTCAAGATTGCTTTTGGCTTGTAAGAGTACCTCCGGGGAACGGAATCTACATCAATTTTACTGTCCTTCAAACAGAACCAATCTATGATTTCATTACCGTATGGTAAGCCAGACCATTATCACCGACTGACTCAACTATATATAAGAGTGAAGCAGGTAGAAATGAGAATATATCACAGTCCTCTGCCTCAAATTGCTTTCTGCTATTTGAGTTGGTATAACTGAGGGTGACATGTGAGTTTTTACACAATGAGATGAACAAGAGAAATAGATTTTGGCTTATTACTACATGAGGTAGATGTTCATTTTAAAGCAAAAGCTTTATAATGAAAAATTACGTAAAAATATTGCTGTTAGGTTAAAATAACCAATTGATAGAGTATGTTGAAGATACTAGCTAGCTACTAAAACTGGTGAAATTTAAGAGCATATATTCTAAGTATACTTATTTAACTATAGAATTCTGTCCTTATAATTCATTATAAAATCATGTAATTGTATTATGAATTAAAATATGCTTTTTTGAAAATATAAGGAACGTCTCTGAATCGGTCATTGACAAACAGGCAGCAGAACTGCTGTCTGAGTTCTTCAGGCCCTTCTAATTTCAGTAATATACGATTCTTAAGAATGTTGCTGTGGAAAATAAAAGGAGAATAAACTGGAAGCTTTTAAGAGGATCTGAATTTTGCTCAAAAGTAAAAGACAATGTCCTGGTTACAGTTAATATAGATGCTTTCTATTTAGGTGCAGTTGTGGTCCATTTTCATACTTTCCATTTCAAAATGTGACATTACCTATACAGTCACAACATACACCAATATGATTGTCACTTATTGGTTATTTACTGCATCTTTACTATTATTAATATTATAACAGAAATATATTCAATCCTTTCTTTAAGGTTGGTGTAAAATTTTCCATGGATTAGTCTCATGTTCCTTTTTTTTTTTTTTAATCATGACAGGGATGGGCCAGACCAAAACTCACCTCAGATTGGCCAGTTCAGTGGCAATACCGCTTTGGAATCAGTCTACAGCACTTCAAATCAGATTCTCATAAAATTCCACAGCGATTTCACAACAAGTGGATTTTTTGTGCTCAGTTATCATGGTTGGTAATACCCAAGTCTTTTTATTTCATTTGATATAGTTTAAATCCTTTGAAAAAAATGCACATGATGTATGTTTAACCAGTGATTCAAAGGTATTAAAACTTGACACATTTATCATTACTGTAAATTTAGCGTTTCAAATACATTTACTTAAAAGGAATGACCTTTTATTAATAATTAAGGATTCTTAAAAATGATAAAACACATATAGGAAATAAATCCATCAGTAATTACTGAGGGGGAAAATAATCATTTTTGCATAGAAGTCAATAACACACAACCCCATATTCATATTGTATTGCATGTGATTTAGAAACATCTAGATTTTTCTATATATAACCTTTCATCTATTCAACCTGCTGTAAGTCCTTCTAGAATCAGAATCCAGTATCTGTGTACTTTGTGCCACTTATTCACTTATACTTTTCTATCAAAAATATTTGGGGCCAGGGAGATGGCTCAGTAGAATAAGCACTTCCCTGGCAAGCGCAAGGGTCTGAGTTCAATCCCCGGTTCCACCAAAAAATAAAAAAATATATATATTTACACAAAAACCTTAGATTTTTTTAAGTGATTTACAAATCATTAAGTTCATAACTTTTACTCCAGTGAAATGACTTATGGAGTCTCAATTTTATTTTTTTACTTAAAATTCTTCTGGGTCTTATATTTATAATATTAAATATTTAAGGGATTTCCAAAGGGTTTCCCAGAGGTGTTTTATTGTTAACCCATATTGATTTTGTTCCATTATAAATAAGCTGTTTGCTTATAGTAGCATCCTTTTCTTTATATTATCTATTTCATAAAATATGTTCTACCTCAAATAGGTGTAGAAATTTTATTCCAATATCATGAATATTTCATCAGTAAGTTACCAAATTAAATTTGAAAAAAGAAATGAAAGTTTGAGGATGGACTTGTGCTCTGCCCATTACAGTAGTATACAACTTGCTGCTTACAAAATGAAACAATAACGTATGTGAAGCTCAAACTTTATATTCCAAGAAAAAAGTAGTATGTCAACTATGATTATGGTCAAAGACGTTAAAGCCCTTTGGAGAGAGAAAATTAACTATAAATATGGAAGTTGTTCAATCTGAGTACGTATAAGCCAGTTAGAGGGTATGTAATTAGTATCCCTGTAACTAATGTGCACTGTATCGCAGCTAATTAGAAAGTGCAGCACTCAGCTAGCCAGCTTTCAGCAGTGTTTCTTTCTTAATAACTTCTTTTATGTTTTATGAGTTGATCATTCAACCTGGTGGTCTGTAGATGCACTTTACCACTCCCATAATAGCATTATTACTTTGATGGACAATTATAATTCTAAAAACAATAACATAAGAGCAAAACATCAATTCACTGCTGATTTGTAATATGTATCCTTTATTTTCATGGATCTCTTCCTAATTACTTTATCATGCTGTATCCTCTCTGAGGAAGTCATAAGACAATACTGTTCATTAAGGGACTATAAGAATATGTTAGACAATCTTATAGAGAATATAAAATTCTTATAAAAGTTAGGAGGCATTTCAAAGCAAAAATATTGCCAGGGGAAAATTGTCAGTGCTTACATTTGTCTAGATAGCGTGTGGAAGACAGAACTATGCACACACGCACACAACTATGAATGCGCATGTGTGGGTACATAGATAGGTGGATGTACATTTACATCATCATTCTAAAATGTGTTTCATTTGATTTTGGAACTTGGCTTTTAGTAATGTATTACAGAGACAGAAGAGCTTAGTAATAAAACAGATCCAGCATTCTTTAGCACTCTTCCAGTTGACGTTGGACAAGTTATTCTTTGGTCTTTACTCTCTGTAGCTGTACAACAGCACAGGACTGCTGAGAGGACGCCACTGTACTGCTGGCACGTACCATGCTAAGCCATGTGAAACTGCTGGCCCGGAAATGCTGGGTGTCAGGAAGTTTGTACTGCTGGTCACCCAGTATTATAATTTGAAGAAATTTTATGAAAGCCAGAGCCGGCGCACAATGCACAGTGAGCAGGGCACCTAGCAGAGCAGACGTTCGCAAATGTCCGCTTCCTTCTCATGGCTTACATCATATTTTATACTTTTTTTTTACTATTACATTTTTATTTTTCCATTAGATTTCATAAAAAGATACAATAGCCAGAGACTACGAATGTCTGACAATTAAATGGAAAGCTCTAGAAATTTTTTCCGAACTTTCATGTGACTGTGAAAGTTGGGCACATAGCTTTGGCTCATGTTAAAAATTGACGGCTGCTCTTATCTTTTTTTCTATAATTCATAATAGTTACATTAAATCAAATCTAAAGCTATGCTGTTATGAAGTTCTTTGAACCTTACTGCCTAGCTCTTACTCCAGAATAGCTCTCTTTATGGTGGTGTATTGGTCAAATTATTTTGTATTTTCTAAAAGGTAAATTAGGCAGATAATTCAATACTTAACACCTGTATTTGATGGGGTAGACCTAGAATTATAATAGTTTAATCTCTCACTTTTCTTTCAATTCTCTTATTCTTGCAAAAATGAAAAATCTATTTAGGGAAAAAATAGGGCAAGCATGAATGTTGAGGCACTTTACCTCAGAGATCATATTATTTCTTTCAGTTGAGGAAATGTGCTTAGCTTTCTACAGTTGCCATTCTTGTAATTCCCTAAGGAAAACCCTTTTCTTGATATCTGCTGTAGGGTCCACACAGAGTTGGCTTACAACAAATAATAACAAAATTTAATCCTAAGTAATGAATCAACCCTAAGCAACATATATTACACAAACCCATTTTTACTTCAGTTTTTAAAATAAATTAGTGCATAAATTTACAGAATCATGGGTTTTGTTTTTGGCATATTTTTATAATTACATTGCTTTTTGTATAACATGGCTTTGTATAACAGTGACTGTTATAGGAATAGCTACCATATGTTAAAAATTTAAAATGCTAAACCCCATATTGAGTGTCTTCTATTTTTGCTAATTTTCTAACAACTTCATGAGGTGACTATTATTCCCTCTGTTTAATAATGAAGAAACCAAAGGGAATTCATTCTCTGCATAAAGCTAGAGAGCTAATAAATAGATCTGGCGAAATAGAAATAGGAAATAGACAGATCTTCAGGTATACAGAAAATAAATTCTTTTTCAAAACTATAGACAAAAGCAGCAGGGTCCAGGAGTTCAATCCCCTGTCCTGCTGTTCCGGCCCTGCCCCCAGGGTGCACTGAGAAGGTGACTGAGGGCATGGTGGTGCAAGCCTATAATCCCAGCACTTGGGAGGCTATAAACAGGAGGGTCGCTATGAGTCCTATCTATGCAGTGAGACCCTATACACCCTGTCCTAAAAATAAAAAACAAACAAACAAACAAAAAAACCATAGACAAAACAATATTAATAGCCTGAATGGTTTCATTTATACCAAGAGACAATCTATATTCTAACTGGTATTATTTAATAAATTGAATGCATTTGATGTATATCAACTTAATTTTTCTTAAGTATTAGCAAAAGTGAGTTTCTTTTTTAAACTGATTGATCACCTGATTTTTAAGAAAATACCCGTCCTAATTATAACTCGGAACTTCAGGTTTGTTAGTGCTTTCTTTACCAATATCTGCAACCTCACTATACTGGGAAGTTTATCACAATTTTGCATATTCTTTATAGCTTCCAAGTATACTACGGTCACTTTGCCAAAAGAAAGAGTTTCATTAGAGTCTCACGTATGTCAACCAAAACAAACCAGAGCACTACAGTATCCTTTTAAATGGAAACAGAAGGCATCATCTTATGATCATTTGAAAATGTTTATCCAGGCACCTCTCTTTATACTCTCAGCATACTAGAGAAACTCGGCTTGTCTATGGAAGGTTTTCATACAGAAAACCCACTGGGCTCAGAAATGCTAAATGCAGATTTTCAGAAATAACGAATAACTTTTAAGAAACTTTATTACTATAGTATATGCTATGATTGTTTTGCTGTATTTTTAGTTGATGTTGTTAATCTTGCTCTAATTTTTAAATTAAATTTTATCATAGACATGTAATTGTAGGATGACATAGTATGGTATAAAGGTTAATACCATCTAAGGTTTCAAAAATCCACGAAGGGAATATTTGAAATGTGTTTCCCATTAGGAAGCGGACTACTATAATGAGTTAGTGATGTGTATTATCTACTGTTTTCTCATAGTAGGCCATGCAGCGTTAAAGAATGAGTTATATAATGACTCACTACTTTTGAGAAATGTAGGCTAAAGGTCTGTAATGTCTTTTAGGTCATCCTTTAAAGTTATGTTTCCTTTATTTAATATATGCTGTATTTGGGAACATTAAATTTAACTCTGCAAAGTCTTACACTAAGAAAGACAACTGGGGGCTGGGGTTATGGCTCAGTGGCATAAGCGCCTGCCAGGCAAGCACAAGGTCCTGAGTTCAATCCCCAGTAGCACATAAAGGAAAAAAAAATGAAAATAAAATTTAAAAAGCTGCTTCATTACCTATCATAACCTGTTTGCTTTAAAAATAAATAATAAATAAATAAATAAGACAGCGGTAGGTAGGAGAGATTTTTTTTTTCAGAGCCAGGGATTGAACTCAGGCCCTTGTGCTTGCCAGGGAAGCGCTGATTCCACTGAGCCATCTCCCCAGCCACATTAGTAGAGATTTTATACACAACATAAATCCTGGAAAATGTGTAAGTGCTTTGCCTCATACAACCTAAAGACCTGACATCCTTTTGTATTTCAGGGTAAAACTCTGAACTCATGAAGGATTTCTTGGCTTGATGTTCAGAGCATGGGGAGTGTGGCCATCATACAGTGACTGGGGTGTGTGTGTGTGTTTGTGTGTGTACAAAGAAACACTGCAGCTAAAAATCTAAATCGATAAAAAAAACTGTTATAAGAAAAAAACAATTAATGCCATCAGTTATCACTTGAATAACTTAAAAAGCCCTTGAGTGATTATTGAACTGTCTGAAAGTCAAGTCTTGAT